AGGTCACGAGAGTATTCAAACTTATCAGGTAGAAGTTTAATCTTGATTGAACTAGTAATTAGTTTACAAGGAAATCTGTAGCTGCCATGAAGGAGGATTAACAATCAGATGTTGGGAGTAAAAGGGTTAGGCTGGAAAAGTTTTCAATTAAAATTACATGTACTGTGAGTTCACATGGCAAACATGACTGAATTCTAAACAAAATAAAAAACATTAATGGCCTAAAAACCAGTAAGACAAAGTCAATGCTTTTAAAAACACTGTATTGTAGTTTTCCAAGAGCCCAAAAGTGGTTGACTTAAGTTTCAACACTTTCCACAGACAATAAAAATAGCAAGCAAGTCAAGTGTCTTTAAAAGTATTATTTTTGAAAAATGTAGTGAACATCAGAAGAATGACCAAAAAAATAAAATAAAAGTTGCAAGTTAAGGGTGTAAAAACCAAAACAGTTCAGACACAGACCACTAGTTATATACACTGCACTTACCGATCTGTCTAACTTTTCCTCTTCTGTTAAATTTTCATCCTGTTTCTTTGGAGCGTTGATAATCTTGGTAAAAAACAACAGGTAGATAGTTAATTCCCTTAAGATTGGCATATCTTGGAATAAATTGGTTGAAAGCATGTTAACAATCACAGAGTCCTCAGTTTTATGAATTTTTCTTCATGTCAACTTACTGTTCTGGTGAATCCAGCCTGACTCAATGTGTCCACATTCTTTGGAGCTTTCTGCAAAACAAATCAACAGAATTGCTTTGTGCATGAAAGCACAGTAATATCCAATATTGATTATAAATTCAGACCTGTACCAGGTGGGCACCCACTAGGAGTGACAGGGTTACCACTTAAAACAGGTTCTTCAGAAGAGGGATAATAAAAAATATGTAGAAGAAATACCATTTAACACTATAATTGACCACTTAATGTACAACACCTCCCTCAAAAATACTACTTACATTGATTTTGGGAGATAAACATGGATGAAATTTACTTGAAAGATCATTCTTAGTTTTCCTTGGGAATGAGTGGTTTTGCTCTAAGTGATCGTACAATAAAAACAGGCTGTTGGACTCAGCAAAGGGTGACCATGAATCAGGTGACCGCTTAACCCTATTCTACATGTAAGTACTGACAAGGAGAATTTGTTTCACAATGAAGAGCATCTTGGATTACTGATCATTTCCTTTGATCTTGTGACTTTAAAGTGTGATTCTGGGGGGGGGGGGGTTGGGGAGAGAAATTAGACACTATTCACTCTCAGGAGGTCAAAGGGTTAGTAGAAAAGAAAAATAGAGTAAAAAGGGGAACAAATTGTGGGACTTTCAATACAGACTGCTTAGTACAGAGTGACCACTAAATAGGGTACAACTTGATACAGATGAACTTGTAACTGATACCTAAAGTGTACAATCAATGTTAACCCTTTAACTCCCACAACTAATTAACATGTAACTTCTCCCTATGATTTCCAAACATTTTTCAGCAAAACAGGTTAGGAGAATACTTATTGCCAAATTTATCAGGGAGAAGTTGTCACCAAGATCAAACTCCAAATTATTGTAACTAACTTACAAGGAAACATGTGACAGCCAGAATGGAGAATTTAAAAAAATCAGATCTTAGGAGTTAGAGGGTGGGGAGCAATAATTAGGGACTGGGTGATGAATGGTAAACTCCCAAGACTTTTGAGACACCAACCTAAACCCATGTCTGAAAAGCTACATGTACCTTGGTTACTTGAAGGCAGAATGTTTTGCAAACTGTGATTGCCATGGAATTTCATTCTGTTTCCTAAGAGAATCCTGGGTAAACCAAGAGAGTTGGCACAAATGTGGACTGGGCATAAAATATCATGGCTGATTCCACATAATCTGTCATGATCCTTTTTGCCAAACATCTCTGGTACACATCCTTAACCCTAACTCACTGTAGCTTCATGAATACCTCCCTACAAAAAAAACAGTTGATCAAGGGCTCACCTTCTCTTTCTTGGTCAGGTCTTCATCTTCCTTTTTAAGTTCTTTCATCTAAAAATAATTTTTCAAAATTCAGCTAAATATAAACATACAAATACAACCATGTAACAGGGTTCTATGGACAATAAAGGCATAAACTGATTAATATGTTGGTATTAAGTGATATCAAACTGGACATGAAAAATGATTAACCCTGGTGGATTTATCATGTGAGCTTCCATATAAAAGAAGTACAGACTGAGACATTTTCTTTTCCCTTTTTTAATTGTTAAAAAAAGGACGGGTTTAATTCCAACCTTTTTCTCCAAATGCTCCAATTCTCTACGAAATTTCTCTTCTTTTTCTTTGTCCTCTGCTATTTCTGCAGCTTTCAGGTTTTCTCTGGCCTGTTCAAGCCTCTTTTTATGCCTGATTAATTGGAAAATAGATAAACAAATTAATTGATACTAATATCAAAATTCAGTTTATAATTGTTCTAAAGAGTTATGTAGTAAACTATGTTATCCACAGACACATTCTTACATGAAAAATAAATTTAAGTTTCAATTTATAAAAACTGCCTGGCTATTTAACCCTACACTGTGAATAATTAGGTACATGTTGTGTTTCTTGGTTTGTTTTCCTTTCTGTGACAAAGAACTTTCGGTATATTGGATCAAAGTGACCAGCACAATTAATAACTAATTAAGTGAGGATTGTGTTTACATTTAAAAAACAAATCGGAAAAAATCATCCAAAACTAAAAATATTTCCTCACATATCCTAAGTAAATACACATCACACGGTAAAACACTCACTCTGAAAGCTTTGTTTCAACAGCATCTCTTTCTTTCTTTGCTTCCTCCATTCTTTCCACTCTGGCTTGGTGCCGCCATCTAAACAGACTTGGCGTATCAATATTAGGGTGTGTGTCATCTTCATCGTCACTAACCTTAAAAAATACACAAAATAACCAAAATATAACATTTAGATGCGATGATGAGACTGAAATTAAATCAAAAACCATTTCAAAAAGGTAAACAAGAGGTTGACTTCTGTAAGTTTTTTTTTTTAATTGTTAGTGTAACAGTTATGATAAATGCAGTATAAGTTTGACTAATGTGAATCATTGACTTCAATAACCTTTGACATTTTTTCACTGCAACCCTTTAGCCCACACCTTACCACCAAAACATGCCCACAGAAACTCACTGGAGAAAACATGACTGGAAAACTATCATTTTCCATCATAGGCCATTTTATTTGCTATGAATGTCGGTGGTTTTACTTTTATTAATGGATGGGCACTCACAATGTGATCCCAGTGTTGACATAATTCTCATAAAAACATAACACAAGCTTTTTGACCTTGAGAAGACAAAAACTCCTTATGGAGTTTCGGTGAGATGACTCCTCTTCAAATCAATTTATTTAGGCAAAGTTAATGGGATTTTCTGTCAATTGGCCTTAGCGTTAACAGGAACAAAAGAGTGCCACCATCTTTTTCTAAATCAAATAATTCCCTTTAGGCAGCATTGGAATGTCACACATTTCCAATTTTTTAATACTGAAACATAACAGTTCTATAATTGTGGTGGTTTCTTAAGAAAACGTGCATGTAGAAATATTTTTCAGGATGGCATCCATTAAGTTTTGTAACCTTCAGATGCCAAAATCACTGTTAACTCTTAGAGATCACATAATTGTTTTTAAAATGTTCAGCCCACTTTAAAGTTATCTATTTTGACCTCTGTTTTCCATGAGCACCAAAGCATTTTGGGCATGAATAATTCGTGTATTGCAGCACCTACTGTACTAGGGGAACCTCAAACAAATTTTCTAATTCAATATAGACTACACAGATGAATTGTAGTTTTTATGCACCTATATTGCTTACCTCAGCAGTAATTGGCAAGTGCAATGTAAAGTTCACCCCCCAAGCAGCCAAAGAGACAAAATCATGAATCACAAGTTTGATTTGTAACCACTAATCAGTATGTTGACAGAATTAAACCAATTCTGGGGTTCCTATACAGCATATACTGATATAATTATTAACCTCAGTGCAAGAGAACTGGTGGTTGCCTACCTTGCTAATTTCCAGCTTGGTAAGTATCTGTCACTATTCACCTCAACAAATAGTGGTCTGAACCATAATTAACTTACACTGCATGTATATGTTTTCTAATCCAATTGTAGTAAAAACTTGGAAAGGTGGAATCATTCAATTGTAACATTTGCGTCTAGCAACATTCATTTTGTATGAAGTTCTAAATGCAAAAAGAAAAGTCTAAATCGCCGGATAGATTGTCTTATTTAAATCTCAGGTTCTATACACGGAATATTATTGTCCTCAAACTTGTTTTATTTTCTGCTTCAAATTACAGCCTTGTCACCAAAGATTGCCAAAAGGATCACTCTCTTGTCTAAATATCACCCCAAAAAAGGCCATTCACACGATAGCGTCGTTTGACCAGAATTGAAAGAATCCTTCACATATTTCAATTTTGCTCGTGCAATTTGGGTAATTGCCATTTAAACCCCAAAAGGCCTTGCATATCTCAGAGTGCTTTTAATATTCTGAAGATTATTTTGTGCTCGAAAATAATACAGGAATTATAATTGAAATACAAAACTGAGAAAAACGAACAAAACAAACTGAAGAAAGGCTGGAACGAGAACAAGCTCTAAGCAGTCGACTTAATTTATTTCAATACTTGAGACTAAACAACACGTACGATTTACAACTGAGAAGGTGCATTAAAGGAAGAACATTCCAAATAAGCTCATTCTATAAATACATACCTCAATATGATCCCATTTACTGTAATCTACCATAGTTTAGACGTGATTTGGAGACACTGGAAGGAAGAAGGGCACTTCCTTTACTAAGTATGGCGACCTCTACCGACCTGGGAAAGTTGCTTCGAGAAGACGTAGTGTACGAGAGAGACTGGTAGCAAGTAATCGATGCGTGGCTGCTAAGCCAGAGAACATAAGTTAAGAATAATCAACATATTAAAAGCCGTCGCCATAAAGCAAGTCATGAGGCTTGGGAAAGACGTACACAAGTGGACGTGTAAAGATGTGGGCTTGTGGCTTAAAGAAAACGGTTTCGATGATCATGCGGATCTATTTGCGAAGCAACATAAGATAGACGGAGGTGCTCTTCTCGTCCTCAATGAAGATGACTTAAGAAATCCCCCGCTTGAGTTGAAAGTCCTTGGCGATATCAAGCGTTTATCTCTGGCGATTGCTTCTCTTCAAAGAAAACACAGCAGGCCAACGCACTTAGCACTCCCTAATGCTACGAATGGACACGTTAAACGAAAATTTGTTGATCAGATTGATAGCGTGGACGGTTTTGTGGGACAGCTGAGACGACGCGATTTTTCGGATTCTGATATCGATGATGACAGGCCTGATGTTCATCCTTTCTCAAATATCTCTGAAACAGGGAGAACGTTGATCAGTTTGGTTTATGCGTTTTCAGTATTTTTTGTCACTTCTTTTGTAATGGTTTTCGTCCACGATCGCGTACCAGACATGAAGAAGTATCCTCCTCTACCTGACATAGTCCTGGACAATGTACCGCTCATACCGTGGGCTTTTCAAATGTGTGAGGTCACAGCGCTTATTTTAACTGCCGTTTTAACTACGGTTTTGTTCTTCCACAAGCACAGAGTTATCGTGATAAGAAGAATGGCTGCTTTGTGTGGAACAGTGTTTCTTCTGCGGTGTGTTACAATGTTCGTGACGTCTCTCAGCGTTCCTGGAATCCATTTGGAGTGCTCTGGAGGTACGTCAAAGGTACGTGTAAACAAATTATGAACTCAAAGCTCACGATTTTCGACCTTATTTAGACCGGGCTAGATATTTTTTATCACTTAGAAGAACAGTTAAACACGACGGAGAAATATGCTTATTGGTGGCATAATAGTTAAAAGAACAGGCAGATATTGTTTACAGTTGTGGTAGCTTTAATGTGTTCTGCCAGACATGAATCATTAATGACACATATAGAATTTGAATACTTCTTAGTGGACTTTGCATTCAAGCTTTGATTACTTATTGATATGGTTATCACGTTTCTGGCTGTTGCTGTGTAATAATTTTCTGTTTTGCTTTTTAAAATCATCTTGGAACCTCTTTTTGGCAAAATTTTTCTGTTTGAAATGATGCCAAATGTGGATATACTAGAACCAGATTATGCAGACCTCAATTATCCAGATTTTTCGATTATCTAGACTGGCTTCTCTGGTTCTATTTTTTCACAAATTAGTCTCATTGGAGATCTGCAACAACTGGTTCCCCGTAAAACAAAGCAGATGCACTTCCATTTATGCAGCTTCAAAGAATGATAGATTTAGTGGCACACAAACACTGTAGCAGCTTGAAAAAACTGATTTTGTGTCTAAATTTTAGGTCATAAAATACTTTTTTAAATACTCTGACAAATTTTGGAAATGGTGCACAATGATTTGAGAATGTCCATCTATTTTTGGCTCATCAACATTTATATTTTCAATTACCCAGACTCTCGATTTTCCAGTCTATTCAGCCAGTCCTCACAGGTCCAGATAGTCAAAGTTTGACTGTATTATTTAAAGTGTGCAAAACATGTTGCTCATAGGTGGTCATGTTCAAACTGAAGTGCAGTGTTAGTGTTAAATGATGTCGAAGACTGGAGTCCTTCTTCATGGTACAGTGGAGTGGATAGCAGTCCTTATAAATGAAAAATATCTTTAAAACATTAAAGCTCTCATAAAGCCCTTGTACCAACAAATTCTAAAATTAATCTTAATTGAAATCTGTTTCTTACAGCGTACTACAGTTTGTAAACTTTTGATGAGCTCCACAGATTTAAGGCTCTAATGTAGAACAACATCCAGTAGCCTGTTTTAGGTCAGTCGTGCTTATGGTAGAATAAAGTAGGATGTATTAGATTATTTCTCATTATCTTTTGTTTCTTGTTATTTTTTTGTAGTTGTATGGTGACACTTGGGCAAAAATAAGAAGAGCCTTCGAGATCCTGCTTGGTTTTGGGATGTCAGTAAATGGTGTGCGTACATGTGGTGACTACATGTTTAGTGGCCACACGGTTACCATCACCTTGTTGAATTTTTTTGTAACAGAATGTAAGTTCTAAGTGTTATTTCATATCACTTGTATTTATCTGTTTATTGTTCATGCTTCATATGCATGGTACAGTTACATATTGATAACTTGCTACTGTAAATATTTTTTACATTATTGAACTGAAGAAATGATAGAGGAAGATGCTTTAAATGTTTAATTGGTTTTAATTAGAATTTTTCAAGCTACTTTGACTTTTATTTTATTTTGTCTGGTATTCATTTTTTTTATAAAACAAAGGGAATTGAAAATGCAACTGGTTCTAGGAATTCTAAACCATTAAAAAAAATGAACATAACAATAAAGGTACTGACTGATTTTTTATGAGTTTAAGAGAAAGATGAACAGTATCTAAGTCAGTGACGAGTGTGCAAACACACTCTAGATCCTTTCAATCAAAAGTTAGGTGGTCTAAAACTGAATCACTAAGCTGCAGGAAAATTATAGTTTGATAAGCTCTGTGGTACACTACATTTAATACAAGTTGGGGATTCCAAGGCTGTGCTCTAAGGAAAATTTCAGGGAGCCCTTCGGGCTCCTAAGCGTTTTAGCTTGGGTGCCCAGGCCTAAAAGATGGTCGCCCAAATCAAAATTTCGGGGAGCCCTTCGGGCTCCCAAACATTTTAGCTGAGGTGCCCAGGCCTCCTAGTTGGTCGCCCAAATTAATAAATCAGTCAGTTAATTATTAAAAAATTAAACAAACTGTTTTCGTAACGAGTCAAATAGAGCTATGTGCATTTATTTATTGTTTTTATGTTCATAAAACATCGTATCCTTTGACCTCCTGAAAACCTATCATCACTTATAGTCAAATAATTATTTAATTCACACTTACAGAAGCAGTGCAAAACTATTTTTTGAAAAATGAATAGTATACATATACCAAAGATAATCTGAGAGTTTATACCCGTTTCTAAAACAATCACAAAAAAAAACGTATCTTTTCTTTTTTATACATCGTGTTTTACTGGAAAAACAATCTTAAGTTATGTTTTTGCCTTGCAGACACGGCAGTAAAAAGCCGGCTAAAATATTAAATTAGCATAGAAGAGCGTCTCCCGTGATTATTCAGCGATTTATTAATCGCCAACCATACTTTACGCCTATCAGAGCAGAAGTAACAACTTCTTTTGAAAAACTAGCTGATGAGCCATCCCAATGTAAAGGAAAAATTTTAATGCTATTGGGAAAGCCGTTAAAATCGAAAACTGTGCAGCTAGTCAAGTTCAAAGTCAAGGATTATGCTACATGTGAATTCACGTGGAACGACCTTTGAACATCAACGCGCGCCCGATGGAACGACATTTTCTTTTAAAAGAAGGACTCCCGTGTTCATTTAGCGATTTATTAATTGTCGACTGTACTTTATGCCTGTCAGAGCAGAAGTAACAATTGCTTTTCAAAAACTAACTAACGAGCCATCCTAATTTAAAGGAAAAATTATAATACTATTTGGAAAAGTGGTTAAAATCGAAAACTGTGCAGCTTGTCACGATCAAAGTCGATGATTATGTTACACGTAAATTCACGTGGAACAACCTTTGAATATCAACGCGCGCCCGATTGAACAACATTTTCTCTTTTTTTTTTGACTGTAAGTCAAGAAACCAACACCAGCCAGTCGCCCGGCCGGGGGACCAAGAAAATATTTTCAGTTGCCCGAGGCCAAATGTTAGTCGCCTCAGGCGACCGGGCACCGTTAGAGCACAGCCTTGGATTCACATCCAGACTACTGCTTGTATTAGCAATGCTGGAACCATTCTTTGTTGACAGTTGTGGAACAAATACATTTTGTACCTTTAGTTAGTTACTTGTGTTCTTGTTCATTGAGTGAAAAAATTGAAAACAATTCATTGACTTGATGAGTTTGGAACTCAATAGCTTTGGTAATACCAATTTCTCTTTCATTTGCAAGGTTAAGTATTATTATGTTTCAGTACACACCTGTGGGTGCAAACATCTTAACCCTTTACTCCCTGAAATCAGCATGTTTTCCTTACATTTCTCTATACATTTCCTAAGGGGCTGACAAAAGGAGACTTTGTTTACAAGCAAGAGCTTCTTTATTTTGTGATCATTTCCTCTTTTTTTGTTACCTTGATGTTTGATTTAGGAATGATATTAGCTGGAGAAATTAGATGTTAGTCACTGTTAGAGGTCAGTTTGGTTAAGTGAGGGTTTACAACAAGTAGATTATTCAAAGACATAAAACACATTTTTATTTGTGCAACATTTTTTTCCTTACAGATACACCATACTACATGTACTACTTGCACACATGCTGCTGGGTCCTGAATATGTTTGGAATTTTCTTCATCCTGGCTGCCCATGAGCATTACTCCATTGATGTTGTTATTGCTTTTTACATTTCTTCTCGTCTCTTCCTTTACTACCATACTCTTGCCAACACTCGAGCACTCAAACAGATTGACAGCAAAAGGACGCGCATATGGTTCCCCCTTTTTTGGTTCTTTGAGGAAAAGGTGTCTGGCAAGGTACCAAATGAATATGAATGGCCTCTGAGGTGGCCCAGATTTCTGTGCAAGAAATCCAAGTCCCGTTAAAAGCCTGTGCATGTACCATTATCTGGCTGTGCTCCCTTCCATTGTAGGTTGATAATTGAACTAGCTTTCTAGATAATGAACAAGGCATGATTTTCTAAGTTTCATCACAGGAGCAAAACTACTTAAAAGTGGTGGTGTAGGAAAATATGTATCTTGGTTACAGAGATATTCGTATAGATCTAAGATATGCAATCCTCTTCTTTTCTAGAAGCTTAGTCAGCCATCTCAACTAGAGACTTTATAGAAGCCAAGGTATTCCCCTCCCCCCCTCCCCCCCCAGCCCCCTAAAAAGACCTCCCTAATATGGAATTGTTGTGGTTAAATTTACAGCACTACACCTACATGTACATGTATTACACAAAGTATAATAATGTAATTTATTTTGAAATATCTGTCATAATTATTTGAAGATTTTTGAAACTGAAATTTTACTCTCAGTAATGTTTCTTTGACCAACTACATATAAAACAGAAAACATTAAAAAAATTCAAGTAACTATCCCTTTTACAAGAAGAAGGACCTAACTGAGATGAGGGCTTCATGTTTTGTTGACACAAATTTTAACATACTGGTAATTAATTTATTGTGAATTTCATGAACCATGTGGAGACCTTGAATTCTACTACACTTTGAAATATTTATTTCAATTGATTTTTATGTGTCTGTACTGAATGTCCAAGGCCTGTTTAACACTGTACAGAGGTATGATTAATATTTTGCTTAAAGGAAAGAAACAGTTTTTTTCTGCATCATTGTAGGTTGACATCAAGCATTGTAAAAGAGACTTATTGACATTCATCTAAGAAGAAAGAAAATTTTTATGAAGCTGTGTTCTTTAAAGAGAGCAAAATTTAATATATTATCCAAGATTATTGGCTTAATTTTAGGGGATTAAATTGATAGTAAAACCTGTTATTTAATAAAATTTATGCATCAAATAACTAAGAGATCTATTATGTAGTAAGTCAATATGTTTAAAAAAGGGCCATCAAGCTAAAGGAGATACATTATAAGATTTATTTTAATCCTTTAACTCTCAAGATCTGAAGGTTAATTCTCCCCTCTAGCTGCAAGACATTTCCTTGTAATTGGTTTCAAGAATTTGATGTTAGATCAAAAGAACAACTTCTACTTGATAAGTTTGAGTATTCTCATTACCAGTTTGCTGGATAACGTGTGAATACTATAGGGAGAAATTACATGTTAATCACTTCTGGGAGTTGATGGGTTAACACATCATTGTAAACTTCACAGGGATGTTGTTGACTGAATTGACACTAATTTTGTGAGGGTTCTGTCATCAAAATGATCTTTTAGCATTATTTTTAAGGTCATTAGAGAGGTTGTAGAAAACCCATTTGTTTTTATGCAGTAATTTTCTCAAACTGTTAAATATAATATAAAATATGTAATATTAATATATTTTGTCCTAAAATTATTAGCAATTGTATTAATGGGTGATGAAATTAAAGTTTGTGAAAATTGGAATTGATTTTATTGAGAGACTTTCTCACTGGCCAGTTCACTTTACTTCATTTCACTCTGTGTCACCCCAGATACAAATCATTTTACCTGCTTTTGGTAATTAAGAAAAATAAAAAAAGAATAAAAGAAAGGTTAAGGTCCCACCGAGATTTGAACTCGGATCGCTGGATTCAGAGTCCAGAGTGCTAACCATTACACCATGGGACCACATATATCTTTTAAAGTAAATTTTGAGAATCTCATATTAAAATTCACACTCTAGTCTAATTGATGTTGGGACTGTATCAACTTCGTCCAACGTCGTCCATGCATGAAACTGCGTGCCAGGGCAGGTAAAAATAGAACCAATACGTATAATGATTAGTTCAAAATTTTGCTTAAAAGGTTACCCGCATTTCATTCCGAGTGAATATTTCCGTCTCTTCCAGCTCTATTTCTCCGTTGTCTTGAAATAAGTACCTATATTTTCATAAAGGGGTAAGTTTCTAAAGAGACTGTGGTGCTACGTCGGTGGGAGAGTATAGCAGGTAATTTAGTGTTAACGTTGTCTTGAAATAAGTACTTATATTTTCCGTCAGAGCGAAATTCTAATCGCTCTGACGAAGGGCTAACGCTCGAAACGTCAGCTTTTTTACATGACGTTTTCAACCCAGTTGTTAACACTAAATTACCTACTATTTTCCACTGAGAGAAAAACATGATTTACTTTGAGCTAGGTCCCACCGAGATTTGAACTCGGATCGCTGGATTCAAAGTCCAGAGTGCTAACCATTACACCATAGGACCGCTCATTAAAATTATTTAAATAAAGATTAGCCTTAAGTTCTTAACCCTTAAACAGCTGTCTTCTCAATCTCGAGCCCAGAGTCATTTTGGTTCCTTGTCAGCGATATGGTCGCCAAAAAAGACCTCCGGGAGAATGGATTAATTCAGTGTTTTTGATTGGTTAAAAGCAAATCAATAGACACCACACAGGAAGTGTGATTTACGAAGGGATCGATCGGGCCGGAAAAAGATCAATAACAACGATAAATTTGAATTGTTTATACTGTCGTTACTGTTGTTACTGTTGCTGTTGTTTTTTTTTTCTGCGTGAAAGTTCTCACCTGTAACCTGCATGTCGATGCGTGAGAAAACATCCAAGCAAAGCCGCTGCGTGTCGCAATGGTGGGAAGTTGTTCTTCATGGAACGATGGATTGCTGTCGTTGTTATTAATTTGTTTTGAGTAAAAAGCAGAAAAGAAGGAATTGTAGAGGCCATGCGAGCGTACAGAAATGTATAAGTGTAACGGAGTTCGACATCAGAATAGCATAGTATTCAGTATCAAAGAAGAGATCGAGAAGCCCACATATGTAAGGAAATCGCGAGGAAAAGGGTGCTTTCTCTTGAAAAAACAGAAATGAGGTCTATCGCCATCCAAAGCCCCTCAGACAGTTTCACAGTCTGCTTTACCGCAAGTAAACCACTCTAAAGATCCATTATACGCACGTCTCGGGTACTCCAAGAAGACCCTTCTGATGGAAACACAGAAGTAACCGTTTCATATTTATCTATGAACCTAGCGACACATTAAATCCTCCTTTTCCATCGCCTACAGTTTAACACTAATTTAACCAAGCTATAAACAGGGATTGAAATACTTGATAAGGCTGACCATAGAAATCCTAAGGTTCCTAAGTACGAAGGTTTTATATAATGCTATATTTACCGCTGGATTATAATGAGCAATTTTTTTTCACAATTACATTATGCATGTGTGTCATTCAAAATGCCATGTCAAAATATCTTTGTTCAATTTACTGTGATCACAAACATCAAACAGAGTTTAATTCATTCAAAATGAAAATATTTACCAGTATAAGGAGAGTTATATTCTGTTTTATATTTAGCTGACAGAACATGCTAGTACTAAATTGAAAAAGGATGAAGTTATGTATGCCATGGGTTGCATCACAGATAAGCCTTACAGATGCAAAAGCAAAACTTATTATGTTGCAACCTACTACCTTGTAGTGTCAAAGCATGTGCCAAATATCAGTTTCTAGAGGAGATGAACAGTGTACAGAAACCTGGAACTGCTGGTTTTTGAAGAAGACCAAAGAAGGCATAACCGTATTTAACCGAGTGCCACGTTGGCACTCGGCTTTACAAGTGTTCTAAAGAAACAGAAAATTAACTGTAATAACCTGGAAATCTACGGAAAACTTACTTCTAAACTGCCTCCGTATTTGTGGCAAATAACTGGTTAGCAATATGACAATAACTGGTTAGCTTAGTTGAAACTGAACTGAACAACTGAACAGCAAGTGATCAAGTCTCAAAAATTAGCAAAATATAATACATCAAATAACAATTTTTATTTTTGCTTCCTAAAGTTATTTTGGAACAAGCAAATAGTACAATAACTGTTAAATGATTTTATTCTCACTTGAAATAATAACATTATCATCATCATCATCATCATCAGGTCGAGCTTGCTCAGTATTCCATGACACCCTCCCTCCATCTTTCTCTGTCTTCCATTGCAATTGGTACTTTTTCAATTCTGCATCCTGTGTCATCCATCAATTGGTCAATGTAGGTCTTTTTTGGGCGCCCTCTCGGCTGATGGCCATGTGTTGGCTTCCAGAGTAATACGTCCCATACATTAAAGCACAATAATTTTACATACATACGTTAATTTTAAATTACATTAAAAAAACAGGAAAATATCAAAGCAGCGTCAAAAGAAACTTATTTGGCATGTTTTTGTTATTAAGTAGATCACGGAAAAGTTAGGAAAGTTGTCTAAGGTATGTCGTATGTTAGGGGCAAATAAATGGGTGTTTTTATGAGAGTTTCAAAACATTGCTGTTTTTCTTTGTTTTGTGGTCATCCCGGCTCAAATCCAGTCACCTGTACAATCATCAGCTTTTGCATCAGGAGTAGAAGCAGGAGAACTTCTCTGAAATTTAAACCAATTGCTCCTAGAGTTTGCTGTTGTTCCTTTTTATTGTCCTCTAAGCCCAACTATTTTTAAGTAGATGAAACTGCTGCACCCATCTTGTTCAAAGTCCATCTTTACGAACAAACTAGCTTGCAATCGATTCACCCCGCGCGGGAACCTGAAAACAGCGTAAAAGCTGCGTAAAAAGCCATCACATCTCTTTTTCCTTCACTTCCAAAGTTCTAGGAACGCCGGAAGGTGTACTGGAAAAAATCTCGGTATCATCTTCTGGTCTATAAATTGCCCTATCGATTAGTTACGAGGAGTGTTTATTAATTTCACGTACACAAAGACAATTTACGTTCTTCTCTTCTTCCGCTGGCGTAGCGGACCGTGTGCTTTACTTTGAGCACGCGCAGAAGTCAACCGGAATGAACCGAAAGTAATTTTGTAAAGAGACGCTTCAAACGGCCTAAAGAGTCGATTAACATTTCATTTAACTTTATTGAGATATTCAGACCGAGATAAAGTTTAGATGTGCAATTTTAAGTGGTTTACTCTTAACCCTCAAGGAGTTTGTTCGCCTTATCTAAACAACAACTAACCACGAACCCAATGTGTGATCCGTCTGTGGTGTGACGTCATCCGTGACCCATTACTAAACAGAGGTAAAGCAACACGGAATTTGTTTGTTAAATACAAAATTTGAAAATGTTGGTAAAGTTTATGAATTACTGTGCCTTAGCTACATGCTATCTTCCTCCGACGCGACAATAGCTCTGTTATGAAACGTAAAGTTTGGTTCGAAAAGTGCGGTCTGCACGCGAGAACATTTGACGTCTGGGTTTTTAATTTGTGGCGTATGTTATCAATGTCTTATTATTAATGCAAACAGTAAATGTACCTAGAGGTTTCCAACTCCGAATGCGGAAATATTTGCCATCAGGAGGTTCTTGATTCTGCAAAACACAGTCATGATGGTTCTTTAAATAAATAATTGGACAATTTATGTTGTAAGCGAGAGGCATTACGACATGCATTACAATAAAGCTGACAATAGTTGAGAGTGGGGGGGAGGAGCAGTTTGTAAGATGCCCAACAAAAGTTCTGAGACAGCACACAGCACCACATGGAAAAGAGGCCTTTGCCTTCACGCACAAACCCGTAGCTCTCCCCCCCCCCCCCCAATGATTTCCCACCCCTGAAATTCCAGCTTGGCATGCGCACTAATGTCCTCGGTTTCCTAGAATTCTAAAATAAAGGAATTTCAGGAAATAGACACCCGTGTGACGTATTTGGATAAAGGAAAAATGGCTCCATCGCAAACTACTTTGCAATTACGATTGCGAGAGGAAAATCACGACAATGTCTCTCAGTGCAAACTCTTGGCAGACAATGCTACGACACGAAACGTTATCGACCTCTTGTTAGTAATCATAATTTTCGTGCTACTCGGCGTTGCCGCGCCTATCATTCGTGGAGATGTTTGCGGTAAGTTTTCGTTTATGAACAGTTGGTCACAAGTTAGGAAAAATCATTGCAGGTAGGCTACACTTAAAGCAGAAAATAAACGAAAAAGTCAAGTTTTTCCAGCCCAGTCGAAGCCTGAATCGTTTCGGCTTCTTATCTACAATTGCTTTAATTCTAGCTTACTAGGGAAGATTGTTTCTATTCTCAGTTATTAATCATCAGCGGGTCAAAGTACTATTTATTCCATGTAACAGAAGGGTACTCAAAAAGTTTAATTGTTAAGACAACTTTCCGTCATATGTGCAGATTCAGTTTTCGATTGCAGACATCATTTACCATATTAAGTCTATGCTGATGGTAATAAATCATCTTTGTAAAAACCAGGTGCGTGGATCGGGCCTGAGTCAATTTTATAGAGGACAGATGATATCTTTATTTGTTTTTACCTTATTGTACTGTAACGAACGTCAAAATCACTTTTGTTTATATGCTTTCGCTATATTTTATGTCGTTCGTCTTTTTCGCTGGTGAATATACCTACCATTGCCCGTTGCTCGCCAGCTGTGTTTTCGCAACCAGCTCGTTCTTGTGACTGTATTTCTGTTATGAAGTATTTAGTTAGTTAAGTATAACCTATTCATTTGCTTACATTAAGCATTTCGATACTTTTTTTAAATTCAAAGTCCAAAGTTTCTTTTAGATTTAAACTACGCGATGAGATTCCAAATTGTGGTTCTTGCTATGGTTTTAATTCAATTCAATTTATTGATACTAGTTAGTATATTTACTGCTCGCAGATAGCAACAGCAAGTCGAAGCGAGCAGTTGTTTCACGCAGATTACTCCAGTAACAAATTACAGAAAAGAAATAAATACAGACTTGATCGTGACAATAACAAGAGTACTAAGATGAGAAATTACAATAATGAAATGGAAAGAATAGTTTCTAAAAAAGAAATCTACAATTTTTCGAGTTCAATCTTGAGTATTCAACAAAAAAGTACCTCTTGAGGACGATCGTGTTTTATAGAAATGGATATTGGCTTGATATAAGTAAATATGTTAGTTATGTGAGGTGGCGTTGGGTTATTGAATACATCATGCATTAACACAGCTAGTGATTTGAACTATATAAAGAAAATCCAAGGGGTAGATTAGAAGAAATAAAGAAAGGTATACCATGAGCATTAAATTCACCAAAGAACAAGTCGCAAGGTACATTTTTTTAAGAAGTAAAAGTCTATTTCTATATGGATCTTGTCAGCTTGACTCCACGCAACTAAACCGTACAACAGATACGGCTGGATGAGTGATTTGTATATGTGACATAAGGTATTCAATGGAACAAAATGTCTTAATCTAGAAATAATATCGATTGAGATACTTATTTTGGAGGCTATATGAGGAATATGGTATTTCTAGGAGAGATTCTCGTCAATAAGCACGCCTAGATATTTGAAATAGTTCTTACACTTTAGAAGAATAAAAGTACCGACATGATGGTTAAATATTCTAAAATTTACTTGATATTTTGTCTAGGTCGAAAAATAACATAGTGGCGGAGTTTCGTAATGTTAAAAAACAATTTGTTGGCTATCAGCCAGTTGTAAACATTTGAAAGCTCATCATTAACAATGGATTCAAGCGTCTTCACAATTTGATGTGCAAATAAAAGATTAGTGTCGTCAGAAAATAAATGAAATTGTAATCGGTCGCAGCTATTTGTGATATCATTTGTGTAAATGAGAAAGAGCAGGGGACCTAGAACCCAAGACAAGACTGTTTCTTTATTGGATAAATTTTGTAGATAAGTTTGAGTTATTTGTCTACGTCCCACTAGATATGTAGTGAACCAGTCGTTAACGATTCCGTGATTCCGTAGTGATTCAATTTCTTCAATAATATTAAATAATCTACCGATTCAAAAGCCTTTTGTGGGTCGAAAAATATACTACATGTGTATAACTTTCTGTCCGTGTTAGATTCTTTTTGATGAGCAGCTATATCCAAAATGGCAGGTTCAATCTTTTTTCACGAAAACCGTATTGTGAATCATGAAGGATACCATTTTTCTCAAGAAATGATTTTAGACGACGGTACATCGTTTTTTCGAAAATACGATTGAAAACCGATAAAAGCGATATGTGGATCAAATTCATCATAACTCTTATAGACTGGAATTATTTTAGCAAGTTTTAATTTAGAGGGGTATGTATCGTGCTCGATTGATTTATTTATAAGCCGAGACAGAGGACGGCTAAGTATATGTTTTGCTGATCTCAAAATGCGGATGGGAAAGGAATTATAATCCATGTGCTTTACTTAGTTGAATATTCATGATGTCAGTTTCTATTTCAATATGAGACACTGGATTAAAATTGAAGGAACCAGCCACATTTATCTTTGGTAGGTATTCGTGAAATTTTTTAGGGGATTTGGCATTTTGGATGCCAGATTGTGCCCAATTGAAGAGAAATATTTATTCACTATGTCTGGAAATTCAGAGGAGTTGGAAGAAACTTTGTTCCTTGTCGGACATTTGAAAGAGTTCATTTCCTTAAGGACCTTTCGTTTCCGGTCTGAGAACCGTTCATGCCCTCCCATGTTTTCTTTGTGTTAGAAATAATTCCCATTGGCGTTAATATTTTGTTTCGATAGAGTTTGTAGGCAGTGGTGTCCCCAGAGTAGAATAGAGCGTCCTTTGACCAATCTACTAATACCTTTTGTTATCCAGGGTTTTTGAGCTCCTCTTAGACTGCGCTTTGAAAGTAGTTTTAAAGGTGCGTGCCTATTGAGGAGTGTATTGATTTTATTATGGAATGCAGAAAATGATTTGCGAACATCCTTTTTATTGCCGACAGCACTGATCAAGTCAATTTATGACAGCTCGTTTGGAAAGGTGGGCTCTGAATAATTGGAGAAGTCACGAACTAATTGTTTAGGTCTCTACACATCAAAAAGCTTACAAGAAGAGCCAAGAAAGCAAAATTGCGAAAAGTGATCGCTTAAATCCGAGATAATGTTGCCGCTTACTTGAACAATTCTTTCACGGTTGCTAATAAATATATTATCGATAGGTGAGTAGGAAATGTAATGTTGTCTCTTGGGTTTGTCAATGGACGGGGTCATGTCAAAGCTTTGTGCTGAAATATCGTTCCACCAATCGGATAGTTTGTTTTGTCACGTCCTCCTTGCCGTCGCTGTCACGTTTAGTTAAGGTCTTTGTTGAACACACTTAGTGGACCCGGGAAACGACCCCATTACCTCTCGCATCATTTTTAAATTGTAACCTGTTTGCTGCTTTTAGATCAACAAAATAGCTAACTGGCGGAAAAATGTCATCGAAAGTCCCGATTGTAAACTAGAGCTAATATCTAATGTACATAATTGCCGCTAAAAGGTGAAAGAAGCTGGAACTGGAGCTAGTAACCAGCTTCACTCAGCTAGATTAATTTTTCGACCCTTAACTGAAGAGCATTGATGTGATGCATGGTACGTTCCTAACAGAAAATGAGTCGGCAAGAAATATCAAAGATTATCGTTTCGTGTTCACTATTATGGAGAGACTTGTTGGGTTAAGCTTCATGCTGATTGTATGATGTGGTGTCCCTAATTATACTGAGTTTACGAGCATTTATCAGTGCAAATATTCTACCACCGGTCCAGGTTTTCACCACGCTAGGTACTTAAATCAACCAGTCACCTGGTTGAAGAAAAAACATAATGCATTGGAGTCAACTGTTGACTAGACAGTAAACTTTGAAACCGAGTAAGCGATCCGAGACGAACAGCTGGCTAGATTTGTAAGAAAGTGTTTTTCACCCCGCGTTTACGTTCTCTAATGTTAACTGAGACCTTCCCTCGGCAATCTTCGTTTGTATTCGGAAATAAAAGAAAACAAGACAAACATTTGAAATAAGATATGACGCTGGGGGTCAGACTTAACCAAATATAGCAGCCAAATACTTTGTCTTGAAACAGACATTAGCCTTATTTAATTTTCCTTTTTTTTTTTATGCAGTCTTCCCGGTAAACTCGGCATGAAAATTAACCATTTTTATTCTTCTTCTAAATTTTTCATTTAGCCACATATCACTTCTTAATTCGCTTACAGTTTCGAAAGTCTGGTCGTTTTCTAAAAAATATGACCAGACTTTCAAAACTGTAATAAGAGAATTAATAAGTGACATTCCTTTACTAATTTGTGGGTTTCGTTTCTTCGTATTGTTTTGTTTCGTATATTTCTGTTTTTGAGATTTCAAATTTACTCCGTATGAAAATGAAATTTTTACCAAGACTGTCTTTGAAAGGAGACACAAGGAAATAATCAACGTGGTCCATTTCATTGATTTCCGGCGTGTTTGTTAGTTTTTATTCCCATAATTATCAGCGTCACGACATTAACTGGACGATTTCCTCATTGTGGACTCAACAGAATAAAAAGGAAAAAATTTGCGATTCAGGATTATGTCAACTAAAAATGGCTCCTTCGAAAACGGTTTGCCATGTGTTTGATGAGAAAGATCGAAATGATATATTGGACCTCAAAAGTCTGGCAGGGAGTTCCACGACTAGAAATGTTGTAGATTTACTTCTAGTGGTCATAATTCTTGTGTTGCTTAATGTTGCTGCGCCAATAATCCGTGGAGATTATTGTGGTAAGTTTAACATTTGATATTGTTGCATGTGATGCTTTACCATCCTAAATTGGGGACCATACACTGACCAGGACAGCGACGGCATCGAAAAAGTAGTAAAATAGGAGAGTCTCAGTTAATCAGAATAGCCCTGAACGAGTTCTTTAATATTTTGTACTTTTCTGGGTGTCCTATACTAAGGCGACGTCTGAGTAGAGGAACTTCAATAGCAAATTATTTCCGTTTTCACTTAGAACTCGACGACACCTTTACATGTTATGATGAAGAAGAGGTTTAACGCCATTTGGGAAGGAAAAAATATCGAACTTCTTGCCTGATTCTTGAAACAAATGTATATTTATTTTATAATCAATGTTTTTCACAGCGAAATTGTCATACCTGCGAAAGGTCCCCCTCAAAAATTTGAGTCAGTGTCATAAAATTAATCTCGCATTTACTTAGAAATAATCCGAGTCTTTCTTCGGCGGCAAGAGATTAAAAACCAAGCAGTTTACGATCTCTTATCGGCTGTGTTTGCATGAGTGATCAAACAACAGTGATCAACGAGATCAAAATAGCAGCCAAGACTAATGCTGGCTACGGATGAAGAATTAATAAAGATATCTTCGATTTTAGAGGTTTTAGAAAAACCTCACTTTTTCTTCAAGACTCGTTAATCAGGCCCTAAATACTGGTTTTCGTCGAAATCATTTTTCAGTTACTCCGCGCTCTCTCTCAGGTACAAGGCTAGCATCTTTCTAATTCGATATCAGCAATTAAGATCGAGACAAAGATATTGCCATTTATAATCTCAGGCATCTTTAAACGCGTGTTCAAAAGTCAAACTAGTGCATGTTACCAAATAGTGTTTCTTTGGCAAGTTACTCCTTCAAATTAAATTTGGCTGGTGTACTCAGCTGTTTATTTATCTATTCATTTGACTTTTCCATTTGCTAGCTCTTGAAATCTCGCGACGCTAAATTTCAACCACTTTTTGAAGGGTGAAATAAACAACCTATGTTTTATTTCCGGCAGTAGATATTCAATCGCTTAGTGTTAACAAAAGATTACGAAGGCCGATCAGAAGATAGTCAGGAAGCGGAGGTTATAAGTTTGTCCTCCAATACCTTTGTTTCTCTGCTTGTTATGCGCCGATCAATTCGAGGCTTCAACATCCTAACGCGAAACTCACGAGCATTTGACTGTCGTTTATGCCCAGAGGTGAGGAAATTGAGTCTTACCAGCGGAATAAACGTGTGTGCGTTGCAGCTCTGTAACTAATTAACAGCGACCGCTATAGGAGTCCGACATTTGAGTTGTACCCGTCCACGGAGGAGAAGCCAGTCCCTCTCGTATTTCCTTTCATCTGTGTTTCGTTTGTTTGTTTTTATTTTCTCTTCACCACTTAAGGGACCGTCGTTGGGTTGGTACTGGACACGCCAGAGTGACGATATGATTTGATATTAAGCTTTTTAATCGTTCCTTTATTCTAATTAGCCAATGAGCTTAGTTTTCTTTTGGCTTACGACACTTAATCCAAAAAAGAGTTCAGACACAGAAGCTGTCATGTTGCTTCGCCTCGCTATGGAGTATTACTAACCGAATTATTCACTTTACTCAAAGAGAGAGGTGATGACATCAGGGTCAGTAACGACGGAAATACTCTCAAGTGCTCCGTAAACTCATCTCGGCTGACGTTGACCGGAAATAATCACAGTGGCAACTGCCACTGTCATGTTGGTTTTAAGGGAGATGGCCATGTTTGTTCAGGTGAGAACGTTGTTTGCATGGGGAACTTTTATTTGATAGTTGAAGGAATTGGGGATTCTCTTCGTGTATAAGTTTGCAGATCATGGAGTTAGTCTTTGTTATACCCTATTCACTCCAAAGCTTAAATATGTTTTAAAGCTGGTATAAACACGATTAAAATTTCTTTTTTTATAGAAGCTGCTTAAAGTGATGTTTAGGTATCAAAATGTTAATTGAAAGCAACGTTCTATGCACTAGTGTTTACTACAAACCTACAGATTCACATAGTTACTTGTTGTATTGATCTTCGCATCCATCACACGTCAAGAATTCCATACGTTTTTCATAGCTTTTCACACTTCGTCGTTTATGTAGTGACGACTCTGACTTTTCCGAAAAATCAAAGGCAATGTGCCAGTTTTTCTATAAACGTGGTTAACCTGCTTCTGCCGTTTAAGCGGGCCACCACCGCGCCCAACAAATTAATCGACAGTCAGCACTACAAATGGCTGAGAAGGAAAATACTGATCGCATTATATTCCATTCACTCTCACATTTCAACCTCCCAACCACGCAGTTAAATCTATCATTTGGTCAGAAGTTCATTTCAAACCAATGATCAACTTGGAACTTTCAAATGCGCTTGCTCACGACGCAAAACTTATCCTTTCACTCATAACAAAGAGAAAATGTCGGGATCAAAGCGATTCATTAAGATGACTGATCACTTTACGTGCACCTCCGCCAATGTCATCTACAGCATAACTTGCACTCATTGCAAAAAGTTATACATTGGTGAAACAGGAAGACGACTAGATGACCGATTCCGATAACACCTTCGCGACGTAGAAAGAAATGACAAGGACGCATCCAAACCAAATACTTTAATCTTCCCAAACATTCCAAGCAGTATACGGCAGTTTGCAGCCTTTCCCTACATCTAGGTAGTTTGGAGGGCCGCAAAACTCTCGAACAAAAATCAATCTTTCAAATCGGCACTCTTAATCCCCACGGTATCAACGAACACTTTTCATTCAACTGTTCTATTCTTGTTTTCTCGTCACCAATAGCGTAGCTACATAATCTGCATATAAACCCACACACAACCCATAATTACTCTAATCTCTCCGTCGAGGGGCTAACGCTCGAAACGTCAGCTTTTAAAATCTTTACGGTGGCCAATTTGCGTTATCAACTCAGTTGATAATAGTAAATTACCCTGTTATACTCTCCCACGGACGCAGCAACACAGTTTCTTTAGAGACTTACCCCCTTTACTCATTTAACTAATGTTTGTCAATTTGGTATCTAGCGCATTGAAAATAAGAGGTAGTAACTACTTGAAACCTTTGGAAAAATTAGTTTTTCAGTTCTGTTTCTCATTTTCATTCAGTTAAACTGACAGTATCTTGAATCTGTTTGAAGCTAATGAAGAGATAATTTTTTTTAAAATTTCATTTGACATTCTATAATGAGAAGAAGAGAAAACAGACAGAATGAATCCAAATGTCACGCTTAAAAACTATCACTATGTTTGTATAAGTAAAAATGAATGGATGAGAGTGATTCTAACATCATCAAACCTCTCTTTCCTGGGCAGATATCGATGAATGTGCATCTGGAAATCATTCATGCCCGCCGAATGCTCGCTGCAGAAACACCTTTGGATCATATAGTTGCGAATGTTCCTATGGTTACCGGGAAAACCGGTATTGCCTCGACATGGACGAGTGCAAACTCGGATTACACGGGTGTGATAAACATGCTCACTGCACCAACACCGCGGGCTCATATAACTGCACTTGTCGAGCTGGTTTTTATGGAGACGGACGATCTTGCAGAAATATATAAGTACAGCTGATGCTTACTCATCAGTGATAAATATCATTTCTTTTTTTTTTTTTTTTGTATTTAATCTTAACATAAAAAGAGAAAATTGAAGTTTTACTTTTTTCGTTGCTCGCCAAATTGGAGTAAGTGAAGTGTTGAGTTTTTTAGTTTTATTTATTATTTATTATTTATCATTTCAAATTTCATTTCAAATATTTGTTAACCTTTTGAGTTAGCAAAATAAATTGTTGTGATCAAGTCCCACCGAGATTTGAACCATTACACCATGGAACCACTAATACTCTCCTACAAAATCTAAAAGAGCCATATTAAAATTCTCACTCGAGTTAAATTGATATTGGGACTGTATCAACTTCGTCCAACGTCGTGTATAGATGAAACTGCCAGGGCAGGCAAAAGTTTGGACTAACAATACAATGATTGGTCCAAAATTTTGCGTAAACGGTTACTTACCTGCAGAGTAAAAATTTCTATCATTTCCGGCTCTATTTCTCCGTTTTCTTCCCTATATTTTCCACTGAGAGAAAAACATGATTCCCTTTGACCTAGGTCCCACTGAGATTTGAACCCGGATCGCTGGATTCAGAGTCCAGAGTGCTAACCATTACACCATTAGACCATTAGACCGTTACACGTTCATATTAGTTAGTGTTAAAATGGAGCTAAAAATATAACAGAATACCTGGAAAAGCGCCCCCAAAAAAATTACCGACTAGTCCCATGCGAGGGAATATCCTCCTGCGGTAAGTAATTACTGACCGGCATGGTCTAACATTATCGATATTTGTCTTCAGAAAGAAGAGCATTCTAGCTCAGGAAGTAGCCACTTTAAATTTAAGATTAAATTAATCAAAGAATTTCCTGTTCTGTGGATAAGAGCGCAGGCTCATTTCAAGGAAAGCGTCTAGTACCTGCAGTACCTTACAAATATGAATAATTAACTTGCATTTTTAATCAGTAACTGAGATTTACCGATGTCCGACAAAAGATCGAAAATCTAACAGACTACCGACAAAGTCATGAAATTCTAAACGACAACCTAAGGACCCCCATTCAGACCCTCTGAAAACCCAAGCGGGATTCGGGAGATCACTCGAAAAGTACACCGATAAAAAGTGCAGTCCACTGCTTGTAGAACATAAACCAACACAGGAGCCCATCATGGGCTCATGACCAACATAATTCTTTACGGGGTTACCGGTGCAATAAACAGAACGTTGTTGACCAATCAGTGCGCTCGTAACGTTTCCGAATACATATCTTCTGTACGGAATTAATTCTCTGTTAAAGAAAGATCGAGTATTACAGATGTTTAAGAAAGGCCCCATGGTGTAATGGTTAGCACTCTGGACTTTGAATCCAGCTATCCGAGTTCAAATCTCGGTGGATTTTTATTGCATTTTTACTATCATTACCCGAAGGCGTACAGTGAAACAAAGTAACAATATTACTGTTCCCACTTTTCCGTTTTGCACCTTTTTGCCGAACCTGTCACAAGATTCCCGCTTAACAATATGACATAGCATGTGAACAGTCAATATGACATAGCGTGTGAAGTTGACATGATACCCAATATGTGCAGCAGATGTTGGGTTATCATGATCATCTCGAGTTCAAAGTCTGCCTAGTTTCCAAGCCCCTCGTCCGTGTAGTGTTCTCAAACTTTTGCAGACGTAGAGAGGAGTGTTTTCTTTGGCAGGTTGTTTAAAAATTTTATTCAATAAGGACTTTATACAATCAGGACGGCAACGAGGAAGACGTCGCTTTAAAAATAAACTCATAATTTAGGAAGAATTTCGCAAAATTGCTGGCGCCACTCCTAAACCTCAGTATAACGTATGTCAGCAGCGTTGAGTTGCAAATGAAAACTAAATAATTCTCTGCTGGGGTTCCCGTTCTCAGACCACGCAAATTTTGGTGCTTCCACGTTGTTGTTTAATGGTGGACACATGCTGAGGCAATGTTCTGCTCATAGATCTTATTTTTTGCCATGTCCTCGTTGCCGCCGACTTCGTAATTGGAGATGGCGGCTTTTTAACGTGCGCCTCATAATTATTCAAAGACTCTCTGTAAGAATGGAGTATATTGATAAACTTTCTGTCTAGATAAAAAGAAATAGTAATGATAATAAAAAAATTCTAGGATCGGCTGCGTCAATTCTGAAATTGTTGTGAATCGCCGTGGGCGTAAAGGTGCTAACTCTTGGGCGCCGATGATAGATAAAGATCCCTCCAAATGTCTTGGCTCTTTTTTAGAATCTGTAAAATTAAACGTTCCTTTTTAAAGGTTCTTTTAGACTGTTTTTGTTGTGGAGGTAAAAAATGTCTGAACTTATAGAAAAAAGTGTTTCCATTTTGTTCCTCATTAAATAACCGCTTTTGCCAGGGGAAAAAAAAAGGAATAATTGATATATCGAATTAGTGTAGACGCCTTATGAAGCACATTGAGATAAAAATAGCAATATTTGCATCACACAAAGTCAATTTCAAGCCTTCTTGTTAATATGTACCTCACGCATCTCAGTAGAAAGCCAGACTTAATGCAGGATAACTACACCAACTGATTTTTATCAATTGCTTTCCTTGACTTAACAAATAAGTATTGTGATCCGATTCCTGCTAAAAATGTTGATTAACAATATATAAAACTTTCAAATTGGTCTGATCTCGGCTTATTAGAATAATTACTGAATTTGTGTTTAGTGATCTCGAGAAAATTGACTTATTTAACTGCGACAGAGATGAAGCCCTAAAAAATTATCATTTTTTTAATTACGCGTCTAACGAATTATATGCGGGATAGTAACTATACATAATTTTTCTCCCCGCTGCCCTCCCCACCCCCCGAAAAAAAAGAAAAAGGACAGAAAGACAAGCAAAAAACGAAATAAATAAGGACTGTAACCGTCTAATTCACAGAAAAATAAGAAACCTAAGCCAGCATCAGAATGGGTGCTCCTTATTTTGTAATATTGCAACCTAATATTTAATGAGGTACATAGTTGTTGGAAGATATAGAAAATTGACATTTTTATTACAGAAGGAAACACGTTCCCACGGCCATAAAAGTGTTTACAGAGGGGTTTTGAGTAAATTCCTTTGCGTGAATTTATAGCGAAAAACCCAGCTTTTTGGTACCGTGGAGATCATAATTTTTTTCCATAATTTTTAAACTTTGGTAGCGAGTACGGAGAACCTTCTACTGCAGTTATAACTCACTAAAACTTCGGTACCATTGATCACACTCTTTTCTATGTCTAACAGTCAGCAATAGAGGCCTTACGGGTCTGTTAGCATAGCCTTACTCGTCCTTATTTAGGATTAAATATAATGATCTGGAATGTTATTTGATCGAAAAACACTCAAATTATGACACCTGTGGTCAAAAACATCTGTTTCCTTCACATTTAGTCTTAATTCAGAAAGCTGCCTATTATCATATTTCGTTTTTCCTGTCTGCTATCACAAGAGGATGACTGGAGGTGGGTTGAATATTCGTTTCCCTTATCATCTCCTTTACCATTTTATTTTTGTAATTATGTTATCAGTCGTCAAATACTCCTTTACTCTTGTGAGAATCGCCAGAGCTGTCTTCTTGTGCAACAATGTCTTGGACATCCATAAAATGGAGTAGTTAGTGAAAAACATAACACTTTTTTCAAATGAACAACATGTGAGCTTTTTCAGGAACCACGTAAGTTTTCCCGGAGGGAAATCACGTTGCTAGCACTTGTCAAAAATAAAAACAACGAAAACACTACAGTACATACAAGTACGAAGGGTAAGTGACTGAATTTTACTTCTTCTTTTCATTTTTTCTTAACTTCGATCTTCTTTTATGACAAACTCTCACCTGTTGTTTTCATGAGGATTCATTTACACCTTCAATTTACATTTTGATAAAGTTTTGTGAGGACTGGTTTCCAAGGTAATAAGATATGAAGTTTTGCACGAGACTGCTAATGTGCCATCGGGCTGTCATTTACGTTCAGTGTATTCGCTTGGTCACGAACATCGAGTTTCTGCAATAACACCTTTTACCTGTATAATTTTTGGCTTTTGCACTTGTAAGTACAATGCAGCAGGAAAAGAGGAGATTGTTTTCTCTTGGAAAGTGGAATTGGCTGCCGCCATCCTCGTATCTCGGGCCGCATTTAAATGACCTCATGAGCCATTAATTCGAGCTTCAAAAAGACCACATGATGATAAATAATTATGAAAGGACTGAAAAGAGTCCAATTCGGTTCGTAATCATGCGAGTGATTAGCAAAATCGATTTGTTGATCACAAGTTGCATCATGAGTTGTACTAAAGTTGTACAGATATATGATATTTCATATCTTTCCCGAAGATTTCATGTGTTCGTAGTTTTTATCCTTCATAATTTCAGTTCCTTAGATTGGCGTCACTTCTTGCCCCATCTTATCCCATCTTTCCCGGTCCCCCATCACTTCGATTCGTCCCTTATGTAGTCGATTTTACGTTTAGGCACCTGTTGTGTGAAGAACTGAACGCTCGTCCAACGAACAGAATGCTAAACACATATTGGCTTAGAGACGCTAGAAACTGTTTATTGCTATTGCTTGTTACCAGTGCTCTGAGCAACCTTCCAACCGCAGAAACGACAAAGAAATGTAACACCAAGAAAGGTTAGTGGCAACCATGTGTATTTCTTTTTGCGTGTGTTTTCTCAACTTAATTAAGGTTACATCTTCACTGATCAAACCAAAATTTTTCTGATAAACTTATTGATGGAATTTTCTTTTTGCCGTCCAGTGATACCTGAAATGAAGATCCACTCGAGTCCATCAGGTCGCACACTAATTGTAGGAGAAGCTCTTAATTTGACTTGTATAGCGTGGCCAAGGTCTGAGGACGAGCTATTTCCTAGGAGAAGGATCAAGTATATTCAGTGGTATGATCCTAAGAATAGATCAGTTGGAGTCAGATGCATAAATCCTAAACTACGAAAAGAACTTCTTTGTACATTAATGCTCAAGGGATTGACTTTAGCACAGTTTGGAAATTACACTTGTGAGGCAGAAAATGATTACGTTGGATATTGCCGGCGAAAAACTGTCGAAATTGGACAAGGTAAGCAACAAAACTAACGTTATATCCTCCAGAAACAAAATAAAGCGGTTACCAGACGTTTCGTACCACCAAAGTCGATTCGCACCAAGTCAGTTGAGTCGTTTCGCACCCGAACCAAACGCGATTTTCGAAACAAAAGTAGCCTGAAGAGCAACGCTGGAAGACCCTTTCCTTCTGGAACCCACGAGTTTTCTCATCAGCTGTTCTAAAACGTTTTGTTACTTTGATTTGCTTCTCGTCACAAGGAACTATTTGCATAAATTAATGACAAAAATTGGAGTAAAATTTAACAAGAGTCGGGGAGTGATCTTTTTCTTATTTGCTTACTTCTATAAGCCTTTTCCGGGTAGTTTCTAATTTCAATTTCACGCGCCTTGCCATTCAAATCAGCTGTCATGATACTTCAACTTGAAAGGAACTTCTAAATGTTGGTAAGTAGAGAAGGGAATGTGGCTAAGAGTTAGGGTGCATTAAACTGCGCATTGGTATTTATCTTCTATGTACAAACTTCCTCTCCATTAAAAGAAGACATGCTCCTTGTCGTTTAGTCCTGATAAACCTAACAGCTGATCTCACTTGCGACGGAAACGGAGTTGGATTTGTAATCATGAGCAAAGAGCGATACGATCAAGTGAAAATCAAACCGACAGAATCAGAAGAAAAATACCGTTACCACTTACGACTCCGTCGCTTACGATCCTTTGAAGAATAGTCAAATATGTAGGCGGAAGACTGTGCTGGAAGGGCCTGGGAACTGGCATGTGATTGGTTGTTTTTTTCCGATTCTGCTCGCGACTGCAAAAATCTAGTTTTCACCACGGAAAAAATGAAACCGTTCTGATTCTTCTGAGTCCCATTCTGTCGAGCTTATGACTCCGCTTATGATTCTGATTTTCAGTTTTCACTCGCTCCAACTCTGACTACGACTCCGACTCTAACTCCGTCGCCAGTGAAAACCAGCCATTAGTAGGAGCACTCTTAAGTAGCGACCAAGTAACATGGACAGCAAGAAATGGAGAAGCATGTGTAAAATGGATTGCAAATGGAGAAAACTTAAGGCTATTCCAAGATGTCTAAAACGTGACAAACCTCGCTTTTTGTTTGTAGAGCTTCCCTTTTCCTGTTTTATGTGCCACCCTCAGTTTCCAAAAATATTTTTTACGGGCTCTCAATTTTTTATTATGTTCTCCCAACACATTTTTCACTGTCATCTGGGATTGTCGGTGTCAGCTTTCCAAGCACCAGAGACTGTCGAGGATCCAAAGAACCAAACCGTCGTTGCTGGTTTCAACGTAACCTTGAACTGCAACGCCCAAGGTTCTCCCATGCCATCCATCACATGGATAAAGAACAACGATTCACTTGCTATACAGTCCAACCCGAGAATAAAAGACATCGAGACTGTCCTGGACTACAAACAAATTCATAGCCAACTGGTAATAGAAGATGCAAAGAAGAAAGATGAAGGAAAATATCACTGCGTTGCAAATAATACTGTGGGAGAAAAAGCATCCAACCCGGCTTTCTTGTTCGTAAAGGATTTAGGTGAGACGTATGCTGTATATTTCTTCTTAACTTGGCATCAGGTTTTATAATGGGACGACCATCTTTTTCTTTAGAGAATGATGAAAAAAACTTTAAAGAAATTTTGGCAAAAGGGAAAGTGTTTTAGAATTCAAAAAAATTTAAGTTCTCTTTTTAAATTTATATAATGCGCGGTATTTCTCTTTCATTCATCTCACTCCTTTCTTTTATGTTCTCCCAACACATTTTTTACTGTCATCTGGGATTGTCGGTGTCAGCTTTCCTGGCACCGGAGACTGTCGAGGATCCAAAGAACCAAACCGTCGTTGCTGGTTTCAACGTAACTTTAAACTGCACCGCCAAAGGTTCTCCCATGCCATCCATCACATGGATAAAGGACGACGATCCACTTGCTATACAGTCCAACCCAAGAATAAAATACGTTAAGACTGCCCTGGACGACAAACAAATTCATAGCCAACTAGTAATAAAAGATGCAAAGAAGGAAGATAAAGGGAAATATCACTGTGTTGCAAATAATACTGCGGGAGAAAAAACATCCAACCCGGCTTTCTTGTCCATAAAGGATTTAGGTGAGACGTATGCTGTATATTACTTCTTAACTTGGCACCAGGTTGTATTATGGAACGACCATTTTTTCTTTGGAAAGGGATGAAAGAAACTTTAAAGAAATTTTGGCAAAAGGGAAAGTGCTTTAGAATTCTCAAAATTTAAGCATTCATTGAATATCCACAAATAATGCAGAGTATTTCCCTTTCATTCCTCTCTCCGGGTATCAACATTTTTTATTTGTTTCCCGTACTTCTTTCACATCTTTGCTTTCAGACAACTGGGCGAGGATTGTTGAGGATCCGGTGAACCAAACTTGTATGATTCGTCGAATTTACTCACAGTCTATCGTGCTGCTGACAATATACCTGGGGCGCAGTTTTCCACGCCGTGTGCGTTGCTTAGGCGTCGTCTGTAGTTTTTTTGCCGTTTTTTGTCAAGGTTAGTTTTGAGCTAAGCTAAGGATTTTAAGGATCTTGTAGAGGAGAAAACTTCGAATCGTCGCCGGATAGATCCTCGTATTGTAAATCGTTGTTTACAAGAGTATATGGATTCTGGACGCATACAGGTTGTTGTGTCGTATTTATTTTCGCCAAGCGTAGCTGGCCCCTACATAATTCAAAGTTAGAGTACTTAAGTCAAGATCTGTTTACAAGAGTAGTTCGTCAAGAGCTGACCAGCAAAAAGAAAAGAAAATCGGCCAGTAGTTCGAAGGTAAAAGTTGTCTCAGAGGAATCGTACGTACAGAGGCGCCGAATAAATTGTCAGAAGTCAACGCGTTCAAGAACGACGAGAGAGGTGGGAATTTGGATGTACAGCCATCGGTAGGCGTAGGAAACGTGGATTTAATTTCTGTTAGCGAAAGTATCAGTGGGGCACCGCCATGCTTACTGGAGTTCCACTGAAGTGTCCACAGTGCTCGGGACCCCATGGAGTCTAGATCTGGAGATATCGGATATTTAGAACTTCCTCTATAAGAGACTGTTTAAAGACTGTGAAACAACACCAACTTTGCAGAGCGTGTCTCCCACAGGGACATAATGCAAAACAATGTCTCAGAGGATTCTTCCTTTTGCGCCATGGCATTTGGCTACCAACGAAGAAATGAGGAAGTGGCCTCGCTTTGATGACGTCAGTGTACCCGAGACAGGAGATAAAAGAGTAGCAATCCTGACGGGCAGTGATCATCCAGAAATTATCGACTTGCAGTTAGACAAGTAGGATCCCCTCTGGGTGGACCGTCTTTGGGCCTATTGGAGAAATTGCAGATGAGCAAGTACACGTAAACATAATACACAATGAGCGTGAAGTTCTCAATGCACAACTGGAACGCATGTACAATGAAGAATTTGGAGACACGAACGGAACTGTAGAAGAAGGCATGTCGGTTGAAGACCATAAAGCCAATGTAATTATGGATCAGTCAAAAACCCTAGTAAATGGGCATTATCAAATTCAACTTCCATCTCGAGAGGTAATAGAGGTGGCTTCCAACTCAAAAATGGATTTCAAACCGTCGTGATGTCTTGTTAGCATTTCCAGTGGAAGAAAGAGCTCCGCACATTAAGGATCTAGATTTAAAATCCGATAACTTACCCTCTGGATAGGGCCCTATGGATCCATTGGGACGTGGAACATGATACGATCAAAGAATCGTAAGGGAGTGCTGTCCTCGGTTGCGACCGCATACGATCCACTTGGATTTGCCAGTCCGTTACTACTACTCGGAAAAGAAATCAGTCAAGAACTGTGTAGATTAGAGCTAAGTTGGGACAACAATATCTCAGAAGAATTCGTTGGAGAAAGTGGAGAGAAGGCCTTATGAGTTTCCAGGGATTCAGGATCCCGAGGTGCTTTAAGCCAGAAGGCTATGTAGAGTTGCACGAGCAGAGCTACATCATTTTGCTGATGCGTCGAAAGAGAAAGGCTATGGAACAGATACATTGCAGTTCCACTGTAGAACGCAGTCACCGAGTCGAAATTAGAATTAAACGCTGCTATCTAGATCAAGAAGATCGTAACTAAGTAACTTGAAGGGAGATTGAGGATTGACAGTGTTACTTAGTAGGGTGATTCGATGATAGCCCTGAAGTATATTGCTGACGAAACGCGAAGATTTGTTACCTTTGTTCCCAACCGAGTGGCCATTATACAGAAAGAGTCACAACCAAGGCAGTGGCCCCATGTGAGATCAGAACACAACCCTGCAGACTATGCTTCTCGAGGAATCAAAGCCTCAGCGAAAGAAACTAGAAATGTGGAGAAATGGAGCAGAATTCTTATGGAAGAACGAGGACGAATTGCCCCCGCAGCCTACAGAGGCTTCCGAAGCACTCCTAGACAGCGACGAAGGAGTTAAAAGAGCGAAGATTACTGTTGGAGCAGCTGTCGTACAGAAAGATTTTTAAGGATCTCCCTGTTTCAACGCTGTTCTAAATGGGGTCAACTGCGAAGATTAGTCGCGTGTCTCATTCGTGTTTTCCACAGACTTCACATCCAAAATTACGGGCTGAACAAAGCAAAAGTTCGAAGATAGAATTGAAGCTCAGTCCCACCCCTTTATCAGTGTCCGAAGTGACTCAAGCAGAGAAGAAAATTGTAAAGTTTTTACAGAGAAAGTCATTTCCTATATAGACATCGACAAGTCAGTGATTACAGATCGACTCGCACGACTTAAAACAAGCCATCATGGTTACGAATGCATGTTGCCTGAGGTTCTAAGCAGTTTACATTGAAGTGGCCGAAGACCTGTCTACAGATAGCTTTATCAACGCAGTTTTGCGCTTTGTTAGCAGACGAGGTCCCCCAATAGTTATTTACAGTGATAACGGTACTAATTTCAGAGGAGCCGAGTTTGACGTTGTTAAGGCTTTGAAAGTGTAGTATCAAGAGAGGATCCAAGCCTTGACTAAGAGAGGAATTGAATAGAAATTCAATCCACCAGGAGCGAGCCACCCAGGGGGAGTCTGGGAAAGACTCATAAGCATGTATGATTCGTTGAATTATGTACTACTAACAGCGCCGCTGACAATATACCTTGAGCGCAGTTTCCCACACTATGTGCGTTGCTTGGGCGTCGTTTGTAGTTTTTTTGCCGTTTTTTATCAAGTTTAGGTTTTAGCTAAGGATTTTGAGACAAACCTGTATGAAGCAGTAACTTCGAATCGTCGCTGGATAGATCCTCGTATGTAAATCGTTGTTTACAAGAATACAAGGAATCTGAACGCATACAAGTTGTTGTGACGTATTTATTTTCGCCAAGCGTAGATGGCCCCTACAAAGCTACTTTTTTCGGTTCCAATGTAACTTTTAACTGTTCTGCAGCTGGTCTTCCGAAGCCAAATATCACATGGGTCAAGAACAATAATTCGAATGCTGCAAACTCAAACCCAAGGGCAAGAGTCATTCCAATTCTACTAGATGACAAAAACATCATGCAAAGCCAGCTGTCAATAAGAGGGGTAAAAGAAGACGACGGCAAATATTATTGCTACAAAGAGCAGCGCTGGAGAAATAGCACCAAAATTTGCGTTCTTGTTCATTAAGCAGCTAGGTGAGGTCGCAGATTGATACTGTTTGTAACTCTGCGTTCAATTTCTGTGAGGGCAATTATGCAGCATAGCTCAGTATAAAATTTCACCCGATAATAATTGAAGGAATTTCTCGAGTTTTCCGACTCTCACCGTATTCAATTTTTCCTCTTCTTTCAACTGCCGTATCCAGCAAAAGCGTCACCGAGAAAAGATCGGCATCGTTCAGTCTCCTTGATTACTGTGCTTAGTGTGTTTGGTGGCACCATAGTGACATTCATGTGCGGGTGCACCATGGCGTTTTTCTATCGACGTGCAAGACGAAATAAACAGGTATTTTTCATAGATTGTTTAACCCCTAAGAGTGATTAGCATCTAACTTCTCCTAACAATATCACCCTCAAATTGCACATTAAGGTGATGAGAATAAAGGAAATGGTCACCAACAAGAAAAGTTCTGGATTATGAAACAAATTCTCCTCATCAGCACCTAAGGGAATGTATGGGAAACAGTAAGGGGAATACGCATACTGATGCTAGGGTGGAAAGGGTTAAAAATTAACTTTGTCCAACTCTCAAAACGATATTTTTTCTGCAACTAAATTTCTGCTGAATTAAATCGGAAAGAATACTCAAGGAGGAGAACAAACTATTTTTTGTTGTTGTTTTGAACGACTGGGTATTTCGATCACCAAATCATTAGTGACCATGAACTGTTATCTGTTGAAGATATTGACATTCTATCCATTTCAATAACAGGGTAACAGGGATGAGGGAGAAATGTATGTGGTCTGCATGGCCAACAACGATTTGGCTGAGGGGATAGCGGAAGATGAGAATCATAATGAGAACGGTTCAGCGCCTTCAGTGGTAAATGTTGTCGCTCCGCTGGTAGATGATGAAAAGCTAAATACTAATATGCGACCAGAAAGAAAAGACCCCAAACAAGACGATGAGAGTGTCGACTCGATGCTCCTAGAGGGACGCAAGATTCTTACTCCACCAGATGTTGGAGAAAAAAATTTCAGAAATCTCATCTTTGTTCAAAAAGACCATGCAGAAAAGTTGTTAAACTCACCGAGTGGTCATTTAAGTGCTCAAGATGGTTGTGATGATGCCAACGTGATTCCACATCAAGAAAGTGGCATGGATACCTACAAACATGGCGATCAAATGCTAACATCTCTTAACATAGCGTTTGAAGAAGAATGCGAAAAAGACTTGGATGATCTCGAAGTGCTTGAAGAAGTACTCGGCGAAGGGGAATATGGAATCGTTTACAAAGGTCGTTGTGGTAGAAAGAACGGAAACATTATTGATGTTGCAATCAAAAAGTTGAAAGGTATGCATAGGAGTCTCATTCTATTCGCACTGATCTTTTTTAAGTTTTAACTTTTCCTATAGTCAGGAGGGATCAGTAAGTAAATACGATCACGTAGATGCTTTTGAGACCATTGAATGTCATTATAAGCTTCTGAAGTCATTTAATTGCACTCGGCATTCTCTGAGGAAAATGAAGGAGTGTAACGTAACATCATTTCACATTTTTATTTAGATGATGCAAGCAAACTTGAGAAAGCCACGCTGTTAAACGAGATAAGGACTCTGAAACAAGCTGGCCGACATCCGAACATTGTCAATTTAATTGGAGCATGGGTACACGGAGGTAAGGTTTCGTTCGACCATACAAATGGCATAGAATGGGCATCTATCCCCAGTCTCACTGGCCTGCACAAAAAAGCCATCAATAATTACTTTTTACTGAAGTTTACAGAGTAACTATGGTGTTAGGGTTAATTCCGGTCGCGTGAAATTTTTTTTGAGTTATGTCTTTCTCTTTGACCTCCTCTAATTTTTCTGTCCCAGTTAATGACAAGATAACTTTGCGATTTCGTAAACTCTCTATCATGCAGCCCGTAAGCCGTCGTCGAGTTCCTGATAGCCAACTTTTCTCTCCTCAGAAACAGTTTTTGTTGTTACTGAATTGGTCCGAGGTGGTAGCCTTGAAAGCCTTTTGAAGAGCAAGGACGACGGAAGTAACGAATATGCAAATGTCTGCTGTAAACTGAGCGACCGACAGCTGTTGAACATTGCGCTGCAGGTGGCCTTGGGAATGCAGCATTTAGAAGAGCGGAAGGTTGGCAAATCACAGAAAATTTATCTCAACGATAACTCTTGGTGAAAATTTCACTCATTCTTAAAATGCTTTGGTATAATATTTGTATAATAAAAAACCGAAATGGCAACTTTCTTTTCAGTGCATTCACCGCGACCTTGCAGCGAGAAATGTCTTTATTGATTCAAGCAAGGTGGCAAAAGTTGGAGACTTTGGATTAGCAAGGAACATCTCAGACGATGGATTATACATCAAAACTTCATGTGTTAGTACTGGATCACTCATTATTAATCTTTCTTCTTGTGTTGAAAGCCGCAGGAAATTTAAATTTCTGTTTAAATATGACCACTCATTTTTTCTCCGGGGCCGCATAAGCTCAACTCAAAGAAACCCTGAATTAAATCTATTTATTGATCATAAACCACTTTTTTTCTGTCTACACTCTTTCACTATAAAAACAGTACATGTAAGTATCACTTTAGAGGGTCAGAACCTTATCGTGGGCTAGATTTAATTATTTCCTGCTAAATTAGGCCAGCATACGCTTTGTTTGGCATGATACCTTCTGTGCTTGTTCATTAAATATAACGTAATGATACATTTACACCTTTATCAACAGATTAAAATTCCATGGAGATGGTCGTCTTTGGAATCTCTTCGAGATCGAGTTTATACATCCAAGAGCGATGTGTAAGTAAACAAAAAGAAACTTACGTTGTCTGACGTGGAAGGGGTAGCCTTGTCCACCATCAATATGTTTGGTCAAGATTGAGGCACGTAAGGCCGCTGAGATTTTTACGTACCGAGAACAATGTTGGAGAGGAGTTCCTCTTCTCCTTTTTTCCTTCCCTTGTATTCCACTCGATGTCCATGTATATATCTTGAACAAATTGCCTCTTAATAGTGTCCCAAGCCAGGTTAGATCGTATTATCAGCCACTGATATCATTCGACGGCTTATACCGTGATAACTCACGACTCTGGTACACTTTCAACCTACAATTGAGTGGCCGCTTGGAATCTAAGAATTCCTAAAAGTTATATATATATACGAAGCATATATATATATATATAATTTTTATGATGAACTTTCACTTGTTAAATTCTTACACTTATTTTCAAAAATTCCGCTATTTCATTTTCCGAAAACAGTAGATACCCTTAACTGAACGCGTTCTTTTTCTTAATCATTTTCAGTTGGTCGTTCGGCATACTACTTTCGGAAATAGCAACACATGGTAGGTCTATAAACGTTCGATGATTTCTATGCCTAGGAGAGCTATATTAAAACTCTTTATCATCTGGCGAAGTGGTCCTGAGGTAAATTGGTAAATTCAAGCCTTCAGTGAATTCAGTAAATTCGGCCAGTGGTCATTAGTTCGGGTCGGGGTTTGTCCATACTGACCGTTCCAAGAAAACGATTATACACTGCATATTTTCGTTGGCGAAAGTCGGCGAATACAATATTAACAAGTTTGGTCCGAGTGACTCATAAGAAACTACTTATATGACTAACCTCGCTTGCTCGAGTCTTACTGTGGAATATTGGACCTCGGTTGTTTTAGTGCGCACCTGGCTGCGCTCAGTCCGTACTGCCACAACCTCGGCTCGGTTAGTAACACGTTAATAATCCATTAAGTTTTTAAACTTAAAGCTATTACCATCGAGCAAACTTCGTTACTGATTTTGCTTTACAGGTGAGTTGCCATACCCTGACATCGAATCACCACTTTCCCTGGTAAGTCGGCTCTCTACGGGTTATCGGATGCCTCGTCCTCACCAATGTTCGGAAGAACTGTAAGTGTTTCGATCATTTGTAAGACCGTCTATTTCTTACATATATTTGCTTACATGTTAACAGTTGACACTTTTTCCATTATTTAAGTAGCTTGAGGCATTTGTCACGTGACTGGGTCAACGAAATACTCTGCCTCCCGTAAGATATGGGAACTCTACCTATTTGGGATGTCGCTGTCATGGAAGCTCCGTAGTTTGGTTGGGTGAAGATTGAGTGAGCTAGTTGACTAAAGAGGTCTTCAAAATTAAAGAATGATGCAATGCATTTGTAGGTATACGTTAATGAGCTCTTGTTGGAACGAGAATCCTTTGATGAGACCTTCGTTTACTGACATCGTGAATGAGCTAGAATACCTCTTAAGAGAAGTAAAGGTGAGTGAAACTGGATTTAAGCCATTCCCTACTGCTTCCTTCCTCATTCAACTTTTCCATTTTTCAATTAATTACACTTGAGTGGATTACGCGGAAACTTTTTCAACCCCTCCAGTTTTCAAATGCCGGAGAGACTTGCATCTAACGAGGAGTCATATAAGTCCAAGGAAATGGCAGCAAAAATCGAAACTCTCTTCGTAGTAAATGGCTTATTAAAATTAAAATTACATCCAAAGGAAAAGTCGTGTGTATTAGGTTTAATTGATCTTTCTTGGGTTCTGTTTTTCATCTTTTCTCATCCGCTCGCTTGTTCCTTTTGTCATTATTATCCATTATCACTATTATCATTACTGAGCTTCCTACGTGTATCCAACCTGTCATTTTTTCATCGCTTTGATTCTTCTGTTCCAGAGGACATATATCAACATCATGGAGGATGAAATCACTAGCAGAGTTGATTTGAAGTAGAAGTAAAATGAGTGGGCAGAAAAACCAGCACCTAGCGCCATGCTGTGCTGTATTTCAAAATTGAGTAGTCTTGAATTGAATGACCTGTTCATCTTGTTACCAATAAGCTAGGTGAAAAAGAAAGTTATAGAAATCTTAGTTGTTGTTATGCTCGTGGGCTAAAGAAACTCAGTCCTTTTTTTTTTTCTTGGTAATTTTCATGAAAGCAGCTCCTGTGTTGGTAAATTAGTCAACTCCGCTTAATTGATGAGAGAATGTAAATATGACATGCTTTCATTCATTAGCCGGAAATGGGTACAATTGTCTGTATTTAAAAGTTCGTTGTGAATTGCACCATGTTTATTTGAAGAGGATCAAGAAGACTGGAAAACGGACTTGCTGTCCCTGGATCCTTCCTGGCTAAAACGACCAGCCAAGCAATTGTGGTCACAAAATTGGACGACGACGAGATCATTCGTTTGAAGGAACTGTGCGCTCACATGGACGTAATAGTTGAGAAACTGAGACAAAGACCACTGTTTTTGTATTATAAGCCTTAAGTAAGCAATAAAGGAAAATGAACCTGGTTGATCTCAATGTACTGGTACTCTTACAGAGATATCAGTGAAAAAGAATAGGGGCGTTTATTTGAGGGGTTTCAATCTACCCCTTGATCATGTGAGTACCCAGATAACCCATGCAACACAAAGGGCTCGGCTGACAGATCTTGATACTCTGACGTGAGGAAGACATTTTTGTTTTTACGACTAACAGCTCCACTACGTTCCAGAGTCCGTGTCCATGTGTTTCACTAATGTTTAGAAATTCTAAAAACAAACAAACAGATATATGATACGGTAGTCGAAGCAGAAAGTAAATATAGCTTGTTCAACTTATCAACCTTTGCCGAAAAAGCAACTACAAGGCAAAATTATCGATCAAATATGCTTTATGCAAATGCCTTGCGAAATTTTAATCAGTCAGCAAAATTGTGCACTGTGCATTCCCTATGGTGCTGACTAAGAGAAATTCGTTTAATGGTCAAGAGCTCGTCGAGTTGTTGATCATTTATTTTATTCTCCTGACCTTAATGTTTAATCCAGGGGTGCTGCCGTGAAGAGAAATTAGATGCTAGTAACTCTTAGGGTTTAAAGGGTTAAATTATACGAGCCTTTAACTCCTAAGATCTCATTAGTAATTCTCCTTACTGTCTGCTATACAAATCGTCTAATGTTACTTCTGAGAATTTGGTATTGGATCAAACCTCCTAATTGATACCTTTCTTGGTTCTCATTTCTTGTCTTCTTGAATTTGTAATGATATTGTAAGGAGAAATTCTGTCTTGGTCACTCACGGAAGTTAAAGGGTTAGACTAAAGAATTTCAAAGGTTACTTCCCTCTTATCTCTTACCTAAATTTTTCCTGAAAACTACAGTTAAAATAATAAAAAGCCAACTGCTTTCGAACGTTTACATAAAATGGTTTCTGAATCTTTAGCACTGCCAAATAGAGCTGACTGTGAACTGCTTCAAGCATGTAGCTACATAAAGGCTCAGAGACAAAGACCGACGCACTCATATGAATAGTATGTGAATAGTTGTGATTTTAGCTTTACTCAAATTTATTTGCCATTTACTCTTCTCTCTTTGAAGCAAATTAATTAGGATAGAGGAAGTCGTTAACGAAAAGAATATGGGTCTGAAGCTAGTCTCGCAAATTAGCGATGTAGCTATGATATTCACTTAGCGTGGCATACAGGTGATTTGTCTATCCCATTGGCTTCTGTGAATTACTTTTTGTCTGAATCCGGCTCAACTTTTTCTTCAAAAGACTAAATGTCTCACCGGATATCGCGTTAAGCAGAATGAAGGACGAAGAGAGTCTATGGCCTTCAGTTACTCACGAGATAAGTAGTTTTAAAAAATTTATTTTTTTGCCGCCAACAACACTAAAATTCCTATCTGTTTATGTACTAATTGCTTAGAATCACCGAGATGTTTTTAATTTCATGTTTTATAGGCAACCGACTTTTCTTCCATCGGCGAAAAAAAAACAAGAACGTAAACTTTGAGCTGTAAAAAAGAATAGTGTAATTGCTATATACTCAGTGATGATGGAACGGCTTCATGAAAAAAATGGACGGGCTTGATTCAACGGTCAGTCAAATTAAAGATAAAAATAATTAAAGCACTATTTAGGTTTACGCTTATTAAATATACGAAAACACGACGAGTTCGTGTAGTGTTGTTATATACCATAATCATGTCTAATTTTAGGGCCATAGCCTTTCAAGTCAGTAACTTGTAGCAAAGAGTGCTCATATTTATTTCATGTATATTAACGGGAAAAAAACAAATCTGAATTTATAGTCGTTACAACGACTACAGCAGGTCTCAGCTGAATCAATCCATTTTGATAAGCTGAAAATTACCTCCAACTACAAAGCCACTCGCCAAGGGCTTACCTTACAAAAAGCAATGACGGAAATTTGAATGATAACAGTCAACAACAGTTTACCATTTTCCTCATGCAGTCATTCATATGATCTGTGTGGTTTTAAGTCTGTGTTTCTTTAGGATGAGAAATGCAAGAGACCATTAACGCCATGATTTCGATGAATAATCATAAGTTGTATTCACCTTACGTTCAATTGGATAAACTAAGACGATTCAAATATATACTACGCGCACTCAAAATTCTGACTGAATTATCATATTCGGAAAAGAGCGAATAAGGTCTAACAAAAGTTTTTCCAAAGATGCCTTCATTGTTTTCAAGTCGAAGACGAGGGAAATTTTCTGTCGGTGACTTAATTTTAACTGATGACGTTAACAGTGGGCTCAAAAGAGCAAGATAACACGAAAAAGCTCTCGCAATAATTTCAATGACGCACACACTTTGTTGTTCTAAAATGGGTTACTTCTGCATTCTAACCAGTCAGTGACAACCTCAAGTTATCGACAGTTAAACTAGAGCCAACATTCAATAAGTATGATGACTCTTGTTTTCTCAGATTTTTATCGCAGTTTTCTGTCCGTGACCCTTATCGTGGCGTGTCAAACGTCTGCTAAGCCAGGTAACAGCGCTAGCACGCCAGTCGGTTCTTCACCCACAAACCGATGTAAAAATGTCTACTTCAGTTCCATGCAGGAACACCAAACAAAAAGATTGGAACACTTCTTCAGGAAATGAATAAACAGCTTATGCACGTTAAAAATGATGTCAGCATTATCAAAGCGAGAAACATTTCATGTAAAGGTATGTTCACACTAGATCATCATTTTTCTTTTCCACTTTTGGAATTGTTCCTCAGATAAAGGAAATCCTATGGATTTTAATCTTGTCTATCCTGTCTTGATTAACCTCTTCTCATTTTGGAAGAATCTACAGAAACTCTCCTTAGGGAAATAAAAGAGACACTTCTCGAAATGCAAAATGACATTGCTTCTATCAAAGAAAACAAGACCCTTATTGAATCTCGACACACCTGTACTGAAGGTAAGAGACAAATGGAGAAGCTTGTCATGTTATCAACAAAGTCTTACGATTCTCGCGCAAATCCAGTTATGTCTTCCAACAGTTAAGAAGAACTGTGCTGAGCTGTACAAATCTGGTAAAACAACAAGCGGCGTTTATACAATCGACCCTGATGGTCTCGGTGCCTTTAAGTCTTCTGTGACCAAACGACAGCCGGTGGGGGAGGGGGGGGTGGACAGTGTTTCAGAGGAGACTGGATGGCTCGGTTGACTTCCATCGCCGCTGGACCGATTACAAGAATAGCTTTGGTAATCTGTATGGTGAGTTTTGGCTGGGACTGGACAAGATACACCGTCTAACAACAACAATAAAGAACAAGATCCGTGTACATCTGATGGACACCAAAGGTAAAACTGCTTACGCCGAATACAACATGTTTGCTGTTTCCAGTGAGAAGAATAAATACAAGCTGAGCGTTGGAACATACTCAGGTAACCTCAGCAATAATTAAGAAATCTGTTGCTGTGAGAACTTGCAGTATTCATTGACTGAACTTGGAACAGCACTATCAACTGTGCCTTAATAAAACAAATTGGAATCCCTTAAGTATTCGCAAGCAGATATATAAATCAGAAAATGATAGCTCGTCGATGGGCTTTTTTTATAGTTGCATAGCACTATGGGACAAATTTCCTCCGCGTCCTTGATGACTTCACATTTTTCAGGAACTGCGGGCGATTCTCTTTCTCTTCATCGTGGCCAGCCCTTCGCAACCAAAGACAAGGACAGAAATCGCTGTGCTGTGACCTACATCGCTCCAACCTGAATGGACTGTACCATCACGGAGTGCACTCATGTTATGCCGACGGAGTCAACTGGTATGACTGGAAAGGATATCACTACTCTGTCAAGAAAGCTGAAATGAAAATCAGACCGGTGCAAGTTTAGAATTTTTGTTTTGTTTGTTTCCAAAAGTTGAAGTCACACACCTTAACACCTACCACGAATGGCTCTACCTAACTACAATTCGGTCGTGATCTACTCGCCTGATCCCTGGACGGGCTACTTTGTTCATCTAATCGAGACTTAAAGAGAGCTCGAGTACAATAAAAACGCTCAAGATCCTAAAAGGAAAACAGTGTTTGACTTCAATTTCAAGGATTTTTCAAAGGAATCCACTGCAAAAAGGGGGGGGGGCTGGTGGGGGGTGGGGGGGGGTTTAATTTTGTTGGTAGAGTAAACAGAAAAGCGCCTCCACAGATATAGACAAAAACTCTGGATTAATTCTAAAAAATTTTTATAAGGTCAATAAAATAAAGCAAAATATGCTTGTTGTGTCATCCGATGGGTCGTGAGCATACAATCAATATGACATAGCGTGTAAAGTTGACATGATACCCAATATGTACAGCAGATGTTGGGTTATCATCTCGAGTTCAAAGTCTGCCTAGTTTCCAAGCCCCTCGTTCGTGTCGTGTTCTCAAACTTTTGAAGTGTTTTTCTTTGGCAGGTTGTTTAAAAATTTTATAATACAACAATTAATGAGTTCAGTTTTTGCATGATATCATGAATTATCAAACCTCGTGAGGGTTTTTCTCGGCCAGGCCTTCCATTTTGGCCGTGCTACTGCCCTAAAAATAAAAAAATTCGAATGATCCGTATATTCAATAGGGACTTTATGCAATCGGGACGACAACAAGGAAGACGTCGTTTTAAAAATAAATTCATAATTTAGGCAGAATTTCGCGAAATTGCTGGCTCCACTTCTAAACCTCAGTATAGCGTATGTCAGCAGTGTTAAGTTGCAAATTGAAACGTAAATAATTCTCTTTCGGGGTTCCTGTTCTCAGACTACGCAAATTTTGGTGCTTCCACGTTGTTTTTTAACGGTGGATGGCTAAGAAATGTGCAAAGGCTTAAAACACACGTGCTGAGGCAATGTTCTGCTTATAGATCTTATGTTTTGCCATGTCCTCGTTGCCGCCAGCTTTTTAATTAAGAACTTCCAAATTGGTCTGATCTCGGCTTAGAAGAATTAATGAATTTGTTTTTAGCGATCCCCAGAAAATTGACGTATTTAACTGTGACAGAGATGAAGCTCTAA